GCGAGCTGACCAATTGTGACCTAATAGGTCGAGATTGTAAGAGAAAATTCATGAGATTGGGTTATAAGTATATAACCCAAATTACACATAGGGGGCGTTTAGATCATATAATGTTTTATTATATGGGTATATTATATTAACGGAAAAAAAGATCATGTTGAAGATTACTGGGAATGTTTAGGAAATGTGTTTAGTTGGTTCAAATAAATTGGTGAATAATATGTTTGGTTGGAAGGATAAATGGGTGGGTATGTTACATAGATTACTAAATTGCCCTCCTTTTTAAATATTAATATAATAGTTTTTTTTTTTTTTAACCCCCTACATTTGAAATTTTGCTAAAACACCATAGTCATATAAAACTTTAATTTGTAGCAAAATCACCCCCACCAAGCCCAAGCCACTGCTGACGGGCCACCACCGTCGGTTGCTGTCGACAGTCGACGAAATGGAGCACGACTAGCTATATATGGCTGACCGTGCGTTGGCAAAGCCGAAAATGGCCATGGATCACAAATCCATGGCCGAAAAATGGTCAGATCTGTGGCCATTTCACGACCAAAGATGTGGCTATGCCATTTCAAGGCCAAAGATCTAGCCTTTTCACAGCCAAAGATGTGGTTCACGACCACATCTTTGGCTGTGAAATGGCCATAGAAACGCCAGATCTAACCGTTTTCAGCTATGGATCTGGCCTTACCGGAGCATGACCGACCAAATCCCACTGGCCATTACAGCGAATGAAGCTGGTAGTTGACGGTGGTCTTAGATGACTGGAGGTATTTTGTTAACTTTTAAACTTCTTATAGCTGAGGTGTTTTAGCTAATTTTTCAAATGTAAAGGGGCTAGGTAATTGTTATTTGGTAGACATTTAAGGACAATTGTGTCCGAAATAGTTTTTAATTAAGGGCAAAATTGGTAGAAAAATCAGATTACCTCGGTAATGTTTTAATAACACCCCTTAATAAGACAATAAGATTACCACTCATATTAGCAACAGTAAATATTATTTATAATAAAAAATTATCATAATACTTTATTACTTATAAACTAAATACCGAAATCTTATAAAATAAATGAAGCTTACCCAATAAATCTTCAATAATGCTAGGGACACCGAAAATTTTACACCGAAAATGTGTACCGGCTTACGTGTAACACGTATCTGATTTGTTTAATAATTTTTTTCTAGTGAACGGTCGTCCATCAAATTTGGACGGCCGTTCACTCACATGGACGCCCGTCCATATTATATGAACGGACGTCCATATACAAGGGACGGGCGTCCCCATTTAAAGGACGCCCGTCCCTAATTAAAATACAATAAAAAATTTTATAAACATTAGGGACTACCGTTCATAAATTTTGGACGGTCGTCCCTTACGTTTGGACGGGCGTCCATTAGGAATGGACGCCAGTCCCTTACCTTTGGACGGGCGTCGCCCGTCCATCACCTCTTTCGTATCATCATCATCATTCCCCCCAACTGTAAGAAGTGCCTTTTCATAATATATAGCTAGTTGTGTGTCTAAGGAGTAAATTGAACGTCTACCATATGTTTGCATACAATTTCCACATGCTTAGTACGGGCATGAAGAAATTGATGTGCTGCAAAGTATGTTTGCTCTCTTACTATCACACGTATAGATCCACCTTTTGCTTAGTTGAAGATGAGGATATCAAATTTGAACTAAGAAACACAGAATATCCCTAGTAATATTTCAACGATTTCAGGGCAACTTGCCCATCGCATCAGTGTATATTACAAGCTTTAAAACTAGATCCTTAAAAGTAAATGATGTTTTCTAACAATATGCTACGAACACTGACGCTTGCACCGAAATGTTAAACCGAACGATGTGTCACCTGGTCAGACAACCACATAGCACGTTAAGAAATATTTCGCGAAAATGAACGGTCGTCCTATTTGATGGACGACCGCATTTTTATTGGACGACCATTCATTTGAAAGGGACGGGCGTTCTTACTTATTGGGCGGGGTCCCTTATAAGGACGCCCATTCATAGTTTAAATTAAAAAAAAATTGATAACAAAAATCATAGACACCCGTCCATAATATGCGGGTGTCTCTATTGATAGATGTCCGTCCATTGTTAAATTGAAACAAAAGCAATGAACGGGCATCCCTCTTAGATGGACGCCCGTCCATTTCCGTCCATTAATAGGGACTCTGCTCTACAACAGAATCCCCTTTTTCCCGCAAAGTTCCTTCTATTTTCTTCTTCTAAACTCCTATTTCTGTTTACTTTCAAACACAAACACAAAGTAATAGAAGTTCATCACTTGAACTACATACATCAATGACCATCTGCAATAAAAATTAAAGTAGAGAAACAGGTGCCATGCATACATCAATGCAATCAAGGGGTCCATCATCTGAAATAAAAAATAAAGTAAGAAACAGATCCATGTTCACAAACTTTGGCTAAAAAATGAGATTACTTTTGTTTTTAAATTTTTTTTTAATTGAAACAATGGGACGCGTCCATCTAATAGGACGCTTATCCATTAAGTAAGGACGCCCGTCCATAATATATAGACGCGTCCATGATTTTTGTTATCAAAACTTTTTTTTTAATTTAAACTATGGACGGGCATCCTATAAATGGACTCCCGTCCATTTCAAATGAACGACCGTCCAATAAAAATGGACGCGTCCATATTTGATGGATGGTTTTCATTCGCGAAATATACTTACATGCTTCATGGTTTGTCTGACTTAGGTGACATTCGTTCGGTTTGGTGTGGATACTCTTTTGCTTAATTTCTCTTGAAATTAAGAGCTTCCAAGGTTGCTAAGGGCTTAAGGTAACATGTTCTACCTTACTTATTTCAATTTGATTTATTTTTTTTTTAAAACTATGACTATACTTGTTATAGTATGATATGCATGATTCTCCATGGATCCATCTTTCAGCCACCACCCCCAGCCACTTGCTGCCAGCCGCCGTCACCGGCGAAACAATGCACGAAAGGCCTAAAACCAATATGGCCATTTTTGGCCAGATATCTGGCAAAAAATGGTCAGATTGTACTAAAGCTGGCCGTTGACGGCCACATATAATCTAGTCGTCAAAGGCTAGATCTGTCACGTCTGACCAAGTCTCTAGTCAGAAATGGCCATACGGTGCACGAACGTCATTTCCTACCTTCCGTGCACCATTAGGTTATCGACAGCCGGCAGTGGCTGGGTCGGTTGGGAGGGTTTGTTGATTTTCTAAACTTTTATTATGGGGTTGTTTTTGCTAAGTTTTTAAATGCGGGGGGTTATAATAATCCAAATAATAATCAATATCAAAAAATAATATAATAATAATATTTAATTAGAGGACAATTTAGTAATTTAAATAACATACCCACCAATTTATCCCTCCCAACCAAATATATTAATATAATATATCCATCAATTAACTAAACACATTTTCCTAAAGATTCTCGGTAATCTTTAAGATAATCTAACTTTCTAGTAATCCAACATTACATGAACCAAACGTCCCCCTTATGTTATTTAAGATTATTCCATGATACAGGAAAACATTTTTATAGTGATACTCTATAAATGAATAAACTCTACATAGTCATAAAAAATTTTATTCCTAACTTAAGATAGTTATAAATAAGGATAAACTCTACATTGTAATAAGTTATAATTTTTCTAATTCTCATCTTAAGGAAAGTTGCCTCCACATAATAATAATTATGTGTATATTGCAAAAAAAAAAAAAAAAATTATTTGATACATTAAAGGTTTAAGATGAAATAAAATATTTATCTAAAGTTGTTTAAAAGAATGATTTATGCTTTAGAGTTGTTATCACAACTTTTAACTTGTGGTTACATTACTCGCTAGCATAGACATCTTCTTGTTGAAGCTAAAATATTTATAACTTTTCAAGCATATTTGAAGCTTCTTAACACGAAACTTTTTGTATTTCCATACTATCATCTTCATGATTATTTCCTTCTCTTTTTGTGTAATTGTAGCAATGATTTCTTCTTCAGTTAAAACTATATGACTTGTTGCTCATTTGAATGATTGAGAAAGATATTAATAGCTATTCGATTAATGTAGTGAAGTTGTCAAATCCGATCACTCAAATCTACAATGACTCTTTGATTCTTCTCATCCACTTTACTTATAACTTGTAATTCATCGACATCAAAGGTCTTAATTTTATAATGCTTAAAACAATTGGTAATTGTTTATGGCTTCATATCAATTTAAGCATGTAGCAACTGTATTTACAATTCATCAAAGATACTTATCTTTGTCGGTTCTAAGACACGATCTTTTGTTCGTTTAAAAAATAGGTAATTAAAGCGTTGAATTGAAATCCTAATATTATTAAAACATGAATTGAAATCCTAATATTGTATTACTAAAACATGAATTATAAAATAAAAAAATTTTATAACTACACCTCTATTAAATTATAACTTCTTCATGGTAATAAAATTAATTAGTCCTACCATTATAACTATAGAGAGGTTTTACTGTATTTAAAAACTATTAAAACCTACCCTCCTTGCCCCCACGCGACTGGGCCATGTTCAGTCCGGTTTTCTGAACATTATTTAACAAGTGGATTCAAATACGTTGGGTACCAATCCGGTTGAGGAGCTGAAATCGAAGATATCACCGAGTTAAAATTATTTTTAATTTAAAACCAGGTGATTTATTTGTTTCAGTATGTAATGTGATGACTGAGTTGATGGTGTTTAGCACTTGAATTTGAAGACGAATTTATATAGGTTATTATTCATAATCCACTCTGTTTATCGTTGACAAATAAGGGTATTTCTATATCATGTTTTGTGTGTTATATAGGACTGAAAATTTGAGATTTTATTATGTAATAGAAATTGAATTAAAATTTAAATATTTTATAATTATCTTTAAATCATAGCCCGCTAATTGTATTTGTACGTACTCACTACTCAGAAAATTAGAACAGGATAGTTTCCAATGCTACATAAGGACAAACGGACACGTGGATATAATACTTTATGCCACCTAGCAATTCCCAATTTCCTTTTATAGCTAAAACTCAGACAAGAACTCTCCAGATTAAACTTTCAAATTCAGTTTGCCCAGTTCAGTTTCAAGATCCATGGAAGCTGCAAAAGAAGATTCACGTTTGCTGAACAAGATAATCCCACCACGCCTCGAAGATGCGGGTCTCGAAGACTGTGCTTTGCCGCCTGACGCCATCAAGGAAGCCTTTTTTAAAGCCGCCTCCGTTGTCAAGTCACGCGCCACCTCTTTCTTCCACAGCGACGACGAAGAGGAAGACTGCCTGGACGACCCCTGGCCCCAGACCAAGGACGTTTCCGACACTGTGGTAGGAGTTTCCTCGCTCCCGGAGGCGACTGGGCCGTGTGGGGTGGTGAAGGGTGGTGGGGTTGTGGAGGAGGGTGAAGATAAAGTGGTGGTCACAGGTGGGGGTGGTGGTGATGACGTGGCAGAGGAAAAGTATGACGTGGTGGTGGGTGGTGCTGGTGACGTGGCGGAGGGAAAGGGAGGGAGTGGGTGCGTTGAAGGGTTAAAGGGCTTGAAGATTGAAGATAAAGAGAAGAAGGAAAATAAAGAGAGTGAGAGGCCAACTTTGGTTAAAGGATTTGTGTGAGATTAGATTAATTAAATAATAATTAGTATAAATTATTCAAATGGAAGTGTTTTTGATTTTTGTTTTTGTTGTTGCTGTTGCTGTTGTTGTACTTCAGTTATGAAATGTTAAACAAATTTTCGAAATGTTATTCAATTCTGGTAAATTTTTTGTAGTTGAATCGAATTGGTCAATTAAGAATGCACAAATTAAAGTATTTTAGAAAGTCCTGTAATTGAACCAGTAATCTTAATTTTGTATGTCACTGAAGTTACGAACAATTGCTATAATCTGAGATGCATTGAGCTTGTTTATTTGCCTTGCTCTAGAAATTTGGAACGAGGAAGCATGAAGATGATGGTTTGGAGGAAGGATCATTGGGCCTTAACACCAGCCCAAAGTCAGACGAGTAATCCTCAGTCCAATCCAAATTCATCTGCTGGCAGAGTTTCACCAAGTGAAGCCCAAGTGTAAGTTGTGCAACGTGTCCTGATCTAACCAAATAAATATTGTTTGTGTTTGTTTCACTTGCAGGGTTTTGTTTTTCAGTTTCACTGAGCCGTTTATGAGACATCCCACGTTGCTTGGGAAGGAGGGTGGTAAGAGCCACTCCAATAACTTAATAATTGGGCTGAGTTATGGGTTTTTCATAGGCTTGGATAGTATTTTTCTTAGAAAACCGGGTGTCGTAAGCCTTTTATAACCCATATGTCCAATCATTTTTCCTCTCAATGTTGAATCCTAACAAAAGAGCTTCAACTAGTTAAATACAAGGGGAATTCCCCAATAGTCAAGATGTGTTTTGGACTTGAGCAAAGGTTTTTGGGCTTGAAAACAAAATTCTGAGAGGTTGGGCTTCAGAGTCGGATCACTTATGTTATCCAAACGGATAATATCTTGATTGTATTGGATTGGTAGCAGGCCAGAGTGTTATACTTTCTACCCAAATTTCATCTGTTGAGTTGGGGATCTAGACTCTCATTTGTAAACAATACAAGATAAAATACCTAAATTATAAAAATTGGATGTCCAAGAAGATATTTATATTAGTGTTCACATGAACCTTCTTCGATCTTATGAATTTATATTCAGAACACGTATGCTTAGTAGAGGAATGGGTTTTATTTTTTTTTTTTTCTGGACATTCAATGATAGTGACTTATCATGTTGATCGATTGCACAGCTTTCTAGTTCGTTTTTGTGATCACCGTGGCTGCTTTAGTCATTCAATTAGTGGTGAAAAAGAGATCGATAAAATAGTCTTCACCATGCCTTTGATGATCATTCTGAGTGCATTAATTATCACTACGTATGCAATTTTCATTCATATTCTGACTCCAGTTTCTTCCAGAGATTATAATTCTAATAATAAGATTGTCGGAGTGTGCCTGCGATTACGATTTCATAAAGGGTTTCATTTTGTTTTGAAACAAGTAGTAGTGTAGGGACTGCACAGATGATTGAAAGGATTCAGCACAAGGACTACAAGGGGTTTGATAACCTCTGCTCGTATACAACATAGTATGTGACTTCTTTATTGATTAGGGGAATCATGCACAAAGCCAATCTTCTCAATTAATCAATGATATCACACCAACACTCATTCAGGAGCAGAGAGAAACAAGACCACAGAATCAACACAGGTTAGAGAAATGGTTCATCTTGTACAAACAAGAGAGAATTGAGAATTGAGAAATGTGATTGATATTGCTTAATCCCTCTTAATTTTTGGATTTTAAGAATGAAAGGGATGGGAGGGTATTTATAGCCATCACACCCCTCTACTTTCACCGCCTCAAGTTACCTCCACCACTAGATAAATGGTGGAGGTTCACTATTTACAGTTCTCATAAATTTATATTTTTGTTTTACACAAACATACCTTGTTCAGAGTAGAGGAAAGGAGGAAACTGACACACTGAATAACATACCTTCTTTTGCCTAATGTGAAGGCCGCCACTTTATACCTCAAACCAAATTTGTAAGGTTTGCCGCCTATGAAATTATTAAGTAGTTTTGCCATCTTTTATAAATCAATATTACTACACCCACAACCTTTGTATATAAATTTTCTCTCATCAACTTATGTGACAAAAGATAATTGAGTAATTTAAAATTTAAAATAAACTTTTAATCAATCATCTTTTGTCATATAAGTTTGTGAGATAAAGTTAGTATAAAAAAGTTATGAGTGTAGCATTACTTTTTGAATAGGAAATTGGACTAATAGATATGAAACGATGCTGGTTATACAAATAATTGGCTTGTTTTGAACTAAAAGAAGGTGCTGAACAAAGATTTTAATTCTTATCTTCATTAATTAAGTAAAGGCTTCAAGTCCAATATTGCTGAACAAGGTTTTTCTTTAAAGAATGATGTTATTCTGACAATGATATCAGTTTTTATACATCAAACAGACATAAATGCTGAAAAAGTGAAAAATATTGTCTCTAAATAATATGTGATATAAATGGAGTAAAGATTTACAAGTCAAATGGATGAAAAATGTAGCAGTATCATATTCAATTAGCTGTGTTGTCAATGTGTCTATGGTGAAGCAAACGGTCTATAGATGAATTGAAACTTTACCATGCATAGGAGATGAAATTTGGCTGGAAAATTGTGGTGGGTACCATAATTGGATTCCTTGGAGCAGCTTGTGGGGTTGTAGAAGGTGTTGGTGGATGTGGTATATTTGTTGCTATGCTTAATTTGTTCATTGGGTTTGATACAAAATCAGCGGCAGCAATCTCAAAATGTAAGACATACCAACCCTTTTATTGGTTTCAGTTTTTTAATTAATAGAATGCGGGGCTAAAGGGATTGAAGAACATTGATAAAATTTTGTTTTTGTCTGGCAAGGTATGATCACTGGTGCAACAGCAATTACAAATTTCTACAATATAAAGCGAAGGTATCCTACACTTGAACAACCGATCATCAACTATGAACTTGGACTATTGTTTAAACCAATGTTGTTGCTTGGAACCAGTATTGGAGTTGTACTCAATGTGATTTTTGCTGAATGGATGATCACAGTTTTGCTAATAACCGTGTTCACAGGTATTTTCTGTTTGAATTGCACTTTTCTCTCAGTTTTCTGTTTGGATTAGTATCTTAGTTAGGCATGGCTGGCCTGCAGTTATATCAATTAAATCATTCTTGAAAGGAGTTGAAACCTGGAAAAAGGAAACAATATCTAAGATGGTAATATCTTGTCTCTGCCTTGCTTAGTCAGACTAGCAATTTCTGGTGAATTTTTTCATGTTCTAATTCTTCTGACTTTGTTTTGAGGGAGCTGCTACACTCTTGGAATCAGATGGTGAGTCGATTCATGTTTGTGTTTTTATCTTAGGTGAGTGTTGAAAATTATCCTTCAAGCTGATTAAATTCTTGATCAGGAATTGGAAGTCAAGCAGAAGAATTCAGATATGAACCTGTGTCTTTAATCAACACAACTCCTAACGAAACCAAGGAGCCGAAAAGATCAAAACTAAGGAGGCTTTTACAGTTTGCAACAACTTTTGTGGTCAAAAAAATTTCAGGATATGATCAGTACTTCACCAGGTCTCTCTTCTTGAGAATATTTACTGCCAAGAACTTGGGACTACTTTTTGCTGTCTGGGTTATAATCCTTGCATTGCAGATTGCTAAGCTATTTGTCTGCTATAATTGTATTATATCGCCTTCAAATACCCAATTCATTTTGCTTTTATGTATTCAATCTAGCTGAACTGATGGAAATCCTAACTGTTTTGTTCACAGAATTACACAACAACCTGTTCAATGCTATATTGGCTACTAAACATGTTACAAGTACCATAACCTGCAGATTGAGCGCATATGAGGCTTTTAGGTTGTACAAAGGGCGTAGAAGGATTGCGTCGAAGGTAGCTGTAGGCACAAACTGGCGAGTATATCAGTTGGTTCTATATTGTGCTATTGGTATGAAGGCTCGCGTAGTTGGTGGATTGCTTGGTCTTGGAGGAGGAGCCATTTTAGGTCCTCTATTTTTGGACCTAGGAATCCCCCACAGCCCACAGCCAGCTTTGCCATGACATTTGTTTCATCAATGACTGTGGTAGAGTATTACCTCCTGAAACTTTTTCCAGTCTCTTCGGTATAACTTAATCAATCAAGTTGTCTATAACGAGTAGAGAATTTTTTTTTTCTCCGGAAATTCAATTTAATTTGTTATCATGTTTATCGATTGCACAGCTTTGTACTTCTTTTGTGTTTGATCTTCTATTGAAGAAGAAGAAAAAAAAAACTATGCTAAGAAAAAACTGACCCAAAAGAGTTCTAGAGATAGAGAGAGAAAATTTCCTCTCATTTTCAGCCTTAGCCGTCCCCGCCTCAGGCGGCTTTCAGTGTGTTTGTGTAAGGGTTTGTTTGGGTGACGGCGTCGGCTCACCGGGAATTGCCACTCTATGATATCGAAAAGGAAAAATGGTAGCCGAAGGGATTTGCTCCGGCGTATGCTGGAATTAGAAGGCATCAGGAATCCATCTACCGGCGTCCTCCGATCTGCTGGGTTGTTAGGAAGTGACGATGGGGGAGACGCCTCGATGAGCGTGGCTGAGACAGGAATGGAAGAAACTCCTCTGGAGGGAAATCCAGTGCAGAGGTTGGACGGGGATGGGAAGAACACCAATGCTAAGATTCTTGAGGTAATTAGGAGTCAGACACGCATTGATGTTGAGACGATTAATTCGGAGAAGGGAGGCGCCTACAGCGGCATCTCAACGGGACAGAAATGGCGGCGTAAGGATAGTCGCTCAAACTCCGTGAGCGAAGATGAAGATGGCCGGGATCGCTCAAGTAGTCAAATGGAGCATAGCAATCGAGCCACAGGGGTTGTAATGGCTAAGCCGGCGGCAGGACAAGAACAGGGGCGGCCGGCGACGGAATTGGTTAGGGCAAAAAATTTGGAAATGAGAGAAGGGGCTGGATTGATGGACACGGGTCGTGGGGATCGAGCTGCAGTCGGGGCAGGAGCGACACGGATGCAGGAGTTGTGTTGTGGGCTGGATAAAGACATGGGGAATGGACCTTACATGAATGATAGTGGAGAATTTTTGGGCCAAGCTGGAGCTTCTAATGATAGTGGAAAATTTTTGGGCCAAGTTGATGCAGATGAAGAGGCTTGTGGATCGGGTACCAAGAAGGCAGTCGGGACACAAGGGCACCTACAACAAACAATGGGTATTTTGGCGACGGGGAGTTCAAATGGGCAGCGCCGGAGCTGGGCTAATATGGCTGCAAATAGCTGTCAGAAGGAAAAACTCAAGATGAAATTTTTTAAGCCGATTGTTGCCTCGGATGGTACAACAACAATCTGTCCTCCTTTTTCGCTGGCTCTGGAAGGTAGGAGGAAATGGGAGAATTGTCTAGTTGGGACTTTTATTGAGAAGAAGCTTCCATTCCATTTAGTACAATGCTGTGCTTTGAAATTATGGCAGAAATATGGAATTAAGGAGGTCATGTTGAATGATAAAGGATTCTTCTTTTTCAAATTTGGGGATGAGGTAGAAATGAGGGATGAGGTAGAAATGATGAACTGTTTAGAGGATGGGCCATGGCTATTCAAGAATCGGCCCCTGCTGCTGCAAAAATGGCAGCCGGAAATGGAACTCAACAAAGAGGCTCCGCGGCTAATTCCTGTGTGGGTGAAGCTCTTTGATGTCCCGCTGGAATTTTGGAGTCCTGATGGGTTAAGCTACATAGCGAGTGGTGTGGGTAAACCACTGGGTATGGATAAGATCACTGAAGACACATGTAGGTTTGGAGTAGGTAGAATTGGATTTGCCAGAGTGCTTGTGGAAATTGATGCTGCACGGAAATTGCCGGAATCGTTAAGGATAAGGATGCCCAATGAGGTGAACGATGAATCCAAGATAATGGGGGTTAGAGTTGATTACCAGTGGCGCCCGTCGCAGTGTGAGCGATTTTGTGAGTTTGGGCACGGGGATACGTCGTGTCCTCGTCTTCCTAGGATAGAGGACAAGGGTACTCGTACGGGGAAGACAAAGATAACAGTTGTAGAAAATGATGGATTCCAAATAGTTAATCGAAAGGGAAAAGGGAAAATGCCCGGAGGTCCCAAAGTGGGTACGAATCCCAATACCCAGCCCGTGGGGGTGGCCATCCCAAAGAAGGAAAACTCGGATCATTTGCGAGGAGGCCTAAGGTGGTGACATATCCCAAAAAGAGTAGTTTGGATCAACATCAAGGGAGGAAACAAACTTTCAGTGTAGGAAATACCTTCCAATGCTTAACTTTGGCTTCTGAGGAGGTAGAGGATTTGAGGAAAAGTAATTTCGGGGACATAGATAAAAAGGGGATCGAAACTGATAAGTGATTCGGACATGGATGACAAGGATGACACGGATGTTGAATCCAACATGGTCTCCTTGGAGAGGCATGCTTCGGCGTACCATGCCTAACTCGTTTTGGTTCATTTTGAGCCTTTAGAGCGGCCTGCGTTTAGGGTGTTCAGTGGGATGTTTGTTGGTATTGAAGCTTAGTCCTGTTGTGTGGCACATCCACATTATGAAGCTTATACAGGTTTTATGGAGTGCAGCTGGTTGAGGTTTTGTGGTGTGTTGTCTGGTTTTCTTTGGGGCTGCGGTTTGTTATTGCAAGTGCAGCTGGTTGGCTGCTTAGGTTGCTCTTGTTGCCTCTTTTGTGTAAGGCACTCTAGCTTTTGAGTTGGTGTCTTGTGTTTTTGTTGCTTTTGTTTTTAGGATTGATTATCCTTGCCTTGTTCTTTGTATTTCGGTCCTTTTGGGCTTTCCAAGGTTAGGAGTCTCCCTCTTTAGGTTGTTATTCTTTTATTATTGTATAATTACCCAAAGAAGAAGAAAAACTTGAAAGCTCTTCAATACAGCTTTCTTCTTCTTTTCAATATTAGCTTATTTTTTTCCTTCAACATGTGTTTTTCTTCTTTTTCATCAGTATATGTCTTCTTTTTAATACGAATTTTCTTCTTCTTCAATATGGGTTTATATTATTTGATGGAAAATATTGTAATATGTGTTTTGTGAAAGCGCCTGGATTTCCATTTTCTAAAAAATATTACTTTAGTTCAGCCTCGGATGAAAGACGTACATGTATGATAAATGGGGATGGAACCTAACTGATAATAAATCTACTCAAGATTATTTAAGTAAATTCCAAAACTTACATAGTGCAGGTAGCTGGCCATGAGATTGGACGCTCGATTTAATTATTATGAGTATTACCAAAAATTACCCACTTCAACGTGATTTTTTCTGTCATAAAATAAATTATGTGCCAGAGTTCAGTCTTACCTCATATTTTCCTGGAGTTGAGTGGTGTTCTGGGGTAAAAAAGAAAGGAAGATTCCTGAACAAAATGGTTTCAAGAAAAATTTCCTGGTTGGTCAACTCTCCTTAGCTTATAAGATGGTCCAGTGCACAAAATGCAAATTTGCCAACTCTCTTTTCTGACTGAACTTGTTTCCAATAATGAAGAGAGTGGGTGAAGAGAAAGAGAAGAGAAGAAGGAAAATAAAGAGAGCGAGAGAGGGCCAACTTTGGTTGAGGATTTGTGTGAGATTAGTTAATTAATAGTATTAATCAAATGGAAGTGTTTTTGTTTTTGCTGTTGCTGTTGTTCTACTTCCGTGATGAAACGTTAAACAAATTTTCAAAGTTTTTATTCAATTCTGGGAAAAAAATTTGTAGTTCAATCGAAGTGGTCAATTAAGTATTTTATAACTCTTGTAATTTAATAAGTACTCTTATTTTTGTATGTCTTATGAACAATTGCAGTAATCTGAGATCATTAGCTTGTTCATTTGCTTTACTCTGGAAATTTGGACGGGGAGGCATGAAGATGTCGTTTTTAGATAGGATCATTGCCTTTACACCAGCCCAAAGTCAGACGAGTAATTCCTCAGTCCAATCCAAATTAATTAAAGTTAATACAAATTAATCAGTTAATCCGTTTTGTTTCTGACCCAAAAAAAAAAAAAAGTTAATCCATTTTGTAAAAGTTTTCAGTAATAAGTAATACTACACCCACAACCTTTGAGTGATAGGTCATAACTGGTCAATCGTAATTTATTAAATGGATTCAGATGAGACTAATTAAACTGTACGCGAATTGTAGAGAATTTGTGAGAAAAAATTGTGGGTGTGACATTTTCCTTCATGCATATTCTATGTAATATTAATATCATATGTAATATGACGAACTCTCCATTGTTATAAAAACTTAAAAGTAAATTTAAATCGATATAATTAATAATAAAATATGAGACCAAATCAATCAATATCATTGTAATATAATTATAGATTAATTTTTTTTTCGGATCAAAACCTTATAGCTCTTATTCAATATCACTTTTAGATCCATCTTCACTGCTTCACAAAGAAAATCTTGTTTCATTCCTATTTGAAAAAATAAAAAATAAAAAAAAAAACCTATATCACAATTCTCATTAAGGAAATTTGCAATACTTAGACTTCAAAACTCTTACAATCAAGTAATAATTTATAATCTCATTTTGAGAAAATAAAAATATGGTTTCATTGCATTAAGACAAACAGCTAGCATAAAAATTATCATTAAAGAAATTTAAGATATTTGGTTTGATTGATTTTGTCTCATGTTTTATTATTAATTCTTATTGATCTAAATTTACTTTTAAATTTGATAATTACAACATAGAGACTTGAAGTAAATATATGAAAGAAGAGGAAGAATTTTTTTTCATTATACAATTAGGGTACGTTTGGTTCAGGGAATGATTATGGATGTGGATTCTGGAAAGTTAGATTAAGGAAATCTTAAGAAAATGTGTTTGGTCGTTGGTAGATATATTATGTTATTTGTTTAGTTGGGATAAATAAATTGGTGGTATGTATTTAAATTACTGAATTGTCCTCTAATTAAATATTATTATTTATATTTTTTAAAATTGATTATTATACCCCCCTTGCATTTAAACTTAGCCAACAACCCCATAATAAGTTTGGAAAATCACACAAGCACCCTACCAACCCAACCATTGTCGGCCGCCGACAACCAT